TAATTAATATTTTTAATCATTTTTGTTTCGAAAGAGTTTTGTTTTATAACCTCTGACATTTCAAATGTTTATAATAGATATTGTTGCCTGCGTACAGTTTTGTAATAGATCGAATGCACAGAGCTATCATATCTTAATAAAATTTATATTACCAAAAGAAACATTTCATAGTTCTGGAGCGTTCCACAAAAATATTCATGCAGCTCTTCACAATATCACAGAATACAGTCAGTAGTTACACTTCAAACTGCTAAGAAAGTTAAATACAAAGCAATGCAAAGAGTATATAAAGAGCAGAGCTCACATGCAGATGTCTCAATACTCCGAAATCACGTTGAACTAAACAGCTACTAGAGTAACTAATGCTCTCTCCGGTGTTATATAGTTTTCTCCTGGGCCGCTGAGAATTCTCTAGTACCTTCCACTTCTCGAGATTACTGGAAGGCTTATGCGGGCCGGATACAGTTATTGTTACATGTAGGATCAATTACAGTTATTCAGTTGCAGTACTCATTACAATTACACAGGAACCGGACCAAAGCGTCGCCAAACGGTATCCACGTTTGGTGACTTTTGGCAGTTTCTCGCCAATTTTGGCGACAAAAAGTAGTCGTCAAAACCATCGCCAATGTAGCGAGATAGCGATCTACTCGATGTTAAAAATACTTGACCCTGTAATTTTAGTTTTCCTGCAGAGCATCTTTTATTGCAACCGTTTTATGTTACATTATACAAAAAGTACTATAATTTTACATATAATTTAATTAAAAGTACATTTACATTATTCATTACAATTTAACATTTGTAGAAAATTCGTAACAATAAGATTTTCGGATGTAAGAATTGCTATGCCCCATAAAAGAATATGGTATTACACACCACTATAAAATTAAGAAAAATCAGATAAGTTAAATATTGAGAAAAATGTATATAACCTTATGAAATGGACAAATTAAAAGTGGCATAATAAATTTCTTTGCGAATAATTTTAAGTTATGTACGTAGCGTCTATAGACATAGTTATCTAAATAAAGCTTACAATTACTAAGAAGTATGTATTTTGTTTTTAGATCTCTTGATTTATAAACATTGTTTTAGTTTTAAAGACAGTTAAAGATCACACGGAATATAAAATGACAAAAAATTTTTAGAAATGGGAGTTTTTCAGACGATGATCAATACGCTTGTAACGTAACGTAAAAAAATAAATAAATAAATAAATAAAAAAATAAAAAAAAATAAATAAAAAGAAAGAAAGAAAGAAAGAAAGAAAAACTAAACTATAGGCATTTCTAAATGAAAAGGTTTTGTTGCAGCTGCATTTCAATATGAATGTTGTCTGTTTCACTGACGTTAAGAATAAAATGACGCGAATGTAATGAAAAAAAATCATTTGAAACAAATGCTATACAATTTTTAAGTTTCAAATTTTCTTATAAGTATCTTTCAGATTATCTTTTGTTTTATGACAATTCCTCATTTCTTTGCTGAAACGTTTCATATTGGTCTAAGCATCAACATGTCAGTATGTCTTTCGGCTGCTCAGTGTGCAAAAGGTCTTATTTCAGTGATATTTCGGTCACTTGTAAAAGACGTCTTACATGAACTAAAGTTATTTCAGTGTTCATGACAAAAAATTTATGACTTACAAGAAATACAATGTACTATACTCGATGCATTTGCCTTGGATAATGTAGAACTTTGCTGAATTTCGGTTAATTGAAGTTCTATTATATATTTTTCAGATAGCGAATTTTTGAAAGACATTTATTTCCTGAATGTGAAAGTAGCTCTAACGATAACGCTACTGATGGTACCGTCTCAACGAGTAAACATTTAATATTTTCACATGAGATAAATGTCCTTTTTCTTTCACATAGGACAATCCAATAAACTCTAAGAACAAATATCCAGTTAGCTGAAACAATCTTTTCCTGCAGAAGTTTTGTAATTTTGAACTAAATTTATCTGAAATTGTTAGTTAAAATAGATCTGATGTTGAGCAGGTGGCATCGCTTGTATTGTCAGTGGGGAAGCCGAAGCTGATCTGCGCGATTCGACATCCCAGAAAGAAATGGAAACTGTTAGTTGTAATTATGACCATTTACTGTAATCTGCATATTCTTTGCAATCCAAGGATTGTTGATTGGAGGTGAATTAGAAATAAAGTAGATTGAAGTTTTGATTGCTGGAGATGATTTATTCTAACGTGGATAAAGAGAATATTTTATATAATTTGCTGGGTGATATTCACCCGAATGGGATATTTCGCAGGATGATCTTCAGGTAATTTAAGCTGATTTAAAAGGGACCTTGTCCACAACTAACACACGCTGTGTTAGTTGTGGACAAGGTCGTGTGCAACAGAACGAGCTATGATAAAATTCCTGACAGCGAAAACATGTCCAGGCTTCAGTTTTGCTTTTAAGGTAACAAAGCTCCGTGAGATTAAAGATTTTTATCTTCTCCGTGCATGGGAGATATATTAAAAAACAGAACCATATTCCTATTTTCCTTGCGATTTCTTAAATATGCCATGTGTGTAGGTTCGAATCCAGAAGCACTGAGATCTTGAATAATTTCTTTGAGGATTTCTGTGACTGGCAGTCCTCTTGGGATGATTTTAAGTGTTACACATTCGAGAATTTCGTAGGTATGACACTGATGACGGCAAAATACTAGCATGGTCTTGATTTGTCTACGAACATTAAAGTCAGGTGGATTAGTTGCCAGTCTTTGACCATTGAAGTTATCAATAATTCTTGATTAATTTGTTAAATTAATCTGTAAAAGCTCATTTAGAATTATAACATTATCAACAATTGTAGGGAAAATATTGAGCTTCTGAGATGCTGCCAAAGATGAAGTGCTCGTTTGACAGAGGATTTCGGTTTCTTCGATCTGAATTTCAATTTATTTTAACGTCTAGGTTTTGAAATTAATTTGAAATAGGAATATTAGACATTTTATAAATGATTTTCGTGTCTTTGCATACTTTGTAGGAGTTTGGAAAATTATCTGTTAAGTTGTTAAAGTTTTATTTCAATCTGTTGGAAATTTTTGGAGCTATTAGCCATAAATTCTTCAAACTGACGTTTATCTTATGTAAAAGCTTCTAAATTGCTATTTTATAGGCTATATGCTCCTATATCTATTTCTAGGAATAACTGATCACTACTTCTAAAAGCAAAAGAAGGGCTTACCTCCTGTGTTGGTGATTCGGGTGGCATTGCTATATCTTGACAGTAAGGACACATCTGCGCTGTTTCAATATCAGAATTGTGTGAAAGCCCAGTTTTCCTCTGTATCACTCAAGATATAAATTCTCAGAAATTCGATAAATGTTAAAGGAAAAAGAGACACAGCAGATCGATTCTTAAAGGAACACAACTCAAAGAACAAAGAAAATAACATATAAGTTCTAAAACATTATACGCTAAAGATATAATTTTCCTTCAGAGAGAAAATTCATTAGGCTTCGCAATGCAAGAAAATCAAAAGAATAAATTTCGAATTTTGTTTTTTATTTTTTTCCTAATTTGTGCGCAAATTTAAGGACTTCAAACTCATCTGTTTAAATGCTTTGCATTACCGTTTTGTTAAGTGTAAGATATTTATTTGTATTTCAAATTTAGTCAGAAAACTCAGCGATATAAATGAAATATGTTGCCATTTTCCAAAACGCAGCATATTTGTCCTTTTAATTCAATTTCACGGTGGAAAACCAGCGGCACATAGAACCACCAAATTTTGAACACATATAGTGTTCCCCTCGAACGAATTCAGAATTTCTTTATTTATTTCATTTGTGGAATTTAAGAATAAAATAAAAAATAAATAATAATAAAAAAAACAAGCAATATGAAAGCTTTCTATTACCACTTGGCAAAGCGTAGCATATTTATGTTTAAATTTAATTAGAAAATGGTGCAATATAGAAGAAGAGTTCTGCTCCTCTGCAAAGTAAAAAATATTTGTGTTTCCAATTTAATGACAAACTTATCGGTCAGGAAGAAATGTGTTGCCATCGCTGGAATTAAAATACTTTTATCTCCCACGCGGCAGTTCATTGTCGTTTAGCAAAGGGTAAAGTAATATTTATTTTTTAAAATTTATTATTAATAAATAACAAACTAAGCAATTTAAAAGCAATAAACAGAAATTATTTGTATTTACTAGCAGGATTCGTGAAATAACAGTAGTTGGATTTATTAAAATATTATATTGTTACGAAATGTACAGGCGCGGTAAGATGGCTTCCCCGCAAAGCAGTTTTTATGGTTGCCATAAAATGGCAAAGGAAGGCAGGATTGCCACATTTGGCGAGAAATCGCCCATTTGGCTACAAAATTGGCGATATGCCATGGACGAATGAAGAACCTTCTGGAACGAATTCTTACGTGTTTAGCCCAGAATCTTCTCGAATCTGTTAGTGTAGCGCGGTTAGTGCATCGTCGAGATAGCGTGTTGAGCTCCGGGAACGACTGAACCTAAGAGTCGGAAGCCATGCTCTGAGTGTTGTTGAGTGCATTCGCGAGTTTTAGAGTGGAGAGTCTCAAAAGTACGTGGAGTTCCGAGAACGACCAAGCAAAGTCAGGAGCTGTACTCTAGTGCTTTGCCGTGAAGCTGTCTCCACCGTTATTGCCTGACATCGCTGTGTCGCTGATTCCAGCGTGTTTATAGATCTTCGACGACTGGAAAGTTTTTTGAGCTGTTCTGATAATATTGATAAATAAGTGTGTTTCGATACTTCATCCAGTGTCGTCGTTTTCACTCCAAATCTACAAACCCCGTACGAACGTGAAGAAGAAAATAAGTAACAACTGGTGTCAGAAAAAAGAAAAACGCAACAATATATATATATTAATTATTTTAGGAGGCTGACCTCTCAGGTAGATAGTTTTTATAATAAATTGCATCAGAGTATTTTAATGTTCTTTATATTTCAAATGTGTTATAAAAAATTTCTTAGAAATGAAAATATTTGCATAACTTTGCAGAACTTATGTTATTTGAGCCAGAAACGGAAGAAATCAACTAACTCCTTGCCCAGATTCGAACGCCAGATCTTCCGATTGCTAACCGGACATGCTACGAAATTATACCACAAGAGTAAGTAGTGGCGAAGTGAAAATTCATTGTACCTTATATTTTGTGCCTTGCATTTTTAAAGCTATTTTAGATACAGCAATAATAATCAATCTTAGCATTTTTAATAAAAACTTCCATCATCTAATAACTTCCATCACGTAACGAAAAGAACAATAGTTTATATAAAAATAAAGAAATCACGCATAATATTATTTTTGGTTAACCAGCACGAACCATCTTCTATTTAGGAACAATTTCTGTCATAGTATGCAACATACTGCTGTTTAGTAGGGTTCAAGAGAACTACCGGGAAGCACGATGCTGGCACCCCACATTCTGACGCGCCCAACCAATCCGTCAAATAACTGACAGTTGTGGGGAGGGTTTGTCGTTAAAAACTCAAAGCTCATCTTTCTTAACCGGCTAGGGAGTTTGTTATCTGGCTAAATATTATATTTCATTAACATGCGAATGATATTTTTAAAAGTGGAGGTCAAAGTGGCCTATAATACTTCATTCTCACAGGGCCACTTGAATTCTTATTAGATGGCTAGCACAATTAAGGGTAAAAATTCCTTGCGAAATATTAATATCTCATTACCATGATTATAGAAATCGCATTTTCTGTAGTTCTCAGCATCTTTGCAAGTATTAGAAATCTATCCGTTCGCTGTGAAAAGAGCCATTTCTACAAATAACCAAAATAAGTAGCCCAATTCATTTCTTCAAAATATGGCATTTGTTTTAGGGGGGATTCTGAAAATTTCATTCTAAAAATACCTTTCCTGCAAAATATTTTTAAGAATTTTTTTATGATACTTCTGCTTTCATTTCTTTCAAATTTTATAAAGAGCATACTAGACCAAAATTTATGATTAGGCAAAAATGCAAACGTAGATTGGTATGCGCATTGAATACGTCGAGGGCGATAAGTCTTCTTCAGAAGCAAAATCATTTTCGCGAAAATTATTTTGGTTTTGAATTCATGTTGCAGCTCAATTTAGGATTACTAAATGAGTTTAGGATCAAATATCCAAACAGAATATATCTTAACTTTAGCTTCGTGAGCAAGTTTGCAGTTCTGTTGCGCTTTTTAAGCTTCGATTTCTGTTCCTTCGTCAGCGGGTGAATCTGTATCATATCTGGAATGAATTTGCAGTATTTATTTCTGTGTTAAAGAGAATTTTGGTATTACCTTCGACACTACTCTAGCTAAGCATCTTTCTTTTCCTTCTTAGAATTTATTGTTTGAAGCTGCAATAAAAGCTATCCTTTCTGTCCTGTTTGCTTATTAGGAAATCGAAAATGTATCGAATGCTAAATAATACCATTATAACAAGGAATGCTACACCCATTAATTCAAATTAATGCTTTTGAGCAAATGCCAGATATATGTTTTCGACATCAATAAATAAACGTATATTATTTTTTATTCAAAATGATTAATATTTTATATTCATGTATATATTTCAAACTGCACCATAGTGGAATGGAATCCTTTGTGTATAATAACTGTTAAACTAATGCAGTGTTTATCCAACAACTGTGAAAATAGTGCCGAATAATAATAATAATAAAATGTTTAGAATGCAGGTCTGTTTATAACATACATGATCATATTTAAAACGGTCTAGCTCAATTGCACGAATCAACCGGGGAAATGACCCATTTGTCTGGGGAATTTAACTTTCTCATACGGGGAAGAGACGAGAAAGGGTTTTCACACTTTCCAATGACAACAACCTAACTAATCTAACAAGATTTCCCTTCCAAAAGGCTAAGGATTATTACTTAGTTTCACATATTGAAGATTAATAATAACTCGAATTACAAGAATAAATGCAACAATTATACAAGAAAATAAAAGGTACTAGTAAACACAAATATTGGCATTAGAAACATCTTTCATTAATTAAAATGCTAGAACAAATAGTATTGTAATATTATTGTAAATTAAAGATTATAAAGCGTACGATTTATATTTCTGATAAATAACAACTCTAAATGCTATTATTAATTTAACATATTTCTCTTATCATTATAGTAACGGTGTCTTGACTAACCTGGAAAATTTAATATTATTAAATAGAATTCAAACTATTTTTTGGTACTAAAATAAGTTTAAAATGTGCTAGAAATATGTTTTGTTAATTAATGTAATCACGTAAATGTTTATCGAAATTATTTAGATACTATGTATATTTTTTGTGAGACAGATATGTTATAAATTACATTAGTGACAGTTTTAAAAATAAATTAAAATACATTTTCATTGGTTTTATATAGCTGAAATTAGTTTAGTCAAGATTTAATTTGAAAAGTAAATTAAGGAAATTATACCACATCTAATGGTAAACCTCTGAGGTATGTCAATTTGCCAAGCAAAGTCAGAGATAAATTAGATCTATACACTTTGAAATGGCAATGCTTTGCCAGGCCGCATAAATAATAAATGTCATTGTAACGACAACTGGACGAAGACTGAAATATGGGCACTTTAATGCCAGACATAAATATATACATATAGAATCCGAATAAATTAATTATATATAAAATAGCCTAATAATAATAATAGTAATAAATGCAAAATAAATAAATTAATTCAAAATTTTTTTCAGTACCAAACTTCTGTTTTTCATCTAAATCATTAAACGGCATAGCTTGAATGTCTTCTACACAATTGAATTAGACATTTATATCAAATTTCTTACATTAATTTTAATTTAGATTACACTCTCTAGTAATTATATGTTTCTTTTATTATCAAAATTGGCCTACTTCATCTTTTAAGTCTCAAGAAAGCCCGTTCCAATGAGATCTGAATTAGGTAATATTTTATAGTTTTTTTCGTTTTCTGCCTTTATTTTCTTTTAGATTACCCATAATTTATAATATTTTTGTTAGATTTCTCTTTTGAATTCTCTGCGATTGCTCCCAACTTCCTCAAAATTATTTAGCTTCTTCGAATTTATTTATTATTCATAATTTTTTCTTTGTCAAAATATTTTCTGGATCACTGAATATTAAAAAAAATTATTTTGGTATTTAGCATTACAACTTATCCCAATATTTGAAATAAACACTGAAACTTGTTCCATTTGTTGAACTGAAGCGAACTGATTCTTCACTTAAATTTATCGCAGCTAATAGGAACTTTTTCCGGATTTGTAATTCAGGTAATTCGATGATTTTTCCTCTTTATGTTTACAAAATAATTCATTTTTGTTACGTCATTTTTGCTACACCATGTTTCATTTTGCAGTGGAGGTTTTTCTAATTATTTTTATCAATCAGTTTAAAATTCTTAACTTATCTAATTTCATTATTTAGTAAATTATAGGCTTTATAGACTCCTATATTTCAAATCAGTTTAAAGAAGCAGCATAATAAAAGTAAAGAGGGGGCTAGTCTTAAATACGTTCAAGATTTATGAAAACCTCCGTTTACTTAAAACCTCAGTGGTAGCAATGACACATAATTCTTGGCGTGCAGTAAATCCTTAGCACCTTTTCATCATAAAGAGCTAAACTTTGTTTGCGTTTGACTTAAGAGGACACTGAAACCATGTCATGATACCATTTTTTCACAAAACCTGGGCTAGAGGAAGTCAGTTTTTTAACATGTTATACCCGGTAGCATTATATCTACTATATTACCAACACTGACTGGACCACTATAAAAATATCTTTAACAGAAGCTTAAATAGTTTGCATAGCATTTGCGGCTGTCACACCCTTCAGGAATGACTGTTCTATGTTCCCGTAAATATTAAGCGCTATTCTGCACTAACTGTCCTAGAATATCGTAAAAAGCTCCACACTAGCTTTGGAGCAGCTTCGCATAGCTAACAACCGGAACTCCAATTCATTTCCAAATTGCTCAAATGAACTGAAAGCAAGCTTTGAGCCACTTAGTCAAACTCATTCACATCCATTAACTAAGACCACTACCTTCTTGTCTTATGAATTGGTACTTTGTCCGCTAAAAGAGAAATGTATTAAATCAAATATAAAAGAAGCACGCTAACGTTAAATTTAAAATTAAAAAAATAAGGAGCCTTATTTTCGTAGAGGTTTTAGTTAAAATTCTATTGATTTAGGGAGATCAGACACAGGTTCCTTTTGCTCCTGTAGATAAGGATCTGCGTATGATCACCTACGAAATCAATAGCGTTTCATTCAAAGCCTATTTTAAAATAAGGTTGCTTATTTGCCTTGAAATAGGTTACTTCCAAAATATTGTTACAGAATAGGAATTGTCCAGTGTTGCTTCCTCAGCATTCAGTCTCTAGGCACAAAATCTAGCAGTCTAAAGATCAAACCAAGAAACACGGACTCACAAGAAAACACCAAACCTCACAGTAGGGAAAATACACTTCGTAAGTAATGTTCCTGTAGTAATCAGCATGTTCACATATATTTATCATGTATACGTAGCATGATTCTTCCCGCTATAACTCCAAAATATGTTCTCCCGTTCTCTAAGTTCACCTATTGACATATTTTATGTAACTGTAGTAGCTTTTCCTTCAGTTATGGTATTCCTTCAGTATAGCGACGGGCATCTTTCCCTTCTGTAATCATTGGCTTATATGATGCAGCTGCCAATGGAATACAGAGTCCAAGAGCAAAACATGTTTAGACGAATCATATAAAACCTGATATTAGTTCCCGAAGCAATAGCTACAGTTCCTAATGGGGCCTACTGATTTGACTTTATCACAAGTTGAAAAGATGGAAAATCCTGCAGTGTCATTTTTTTCAGCTTTCTAAGAAGGAGTTGGAATGTATAACTCTGTATTGCCTTTATTTCACTACAGTATTCCTCACTATTGCAAAGAGGTGGCAAATATTACCAAAAATCTCACTGATGGAATGGCCGATGGACAATTATTGAGCCTTGCTAAAGCTGCATCGTAGATTCATTTTGAGAAGAATTGCTGGTATACATAATCTACTGTGATTTCATGGGTTCTTTCGTTGGATCATGACATGCATCGATGACATTACTTACATTCCAGT